ATAGATTGTTCTAGTTGTTCCAAACATTGTTCCAAAAGCACAAATCAATAAGTTTAATTATAAGCCCGAAAAATTAAAAAAAAATTTTTTGACAAACAGTCTATCGGACCAAGAGTAAACTTATACTATCTTTCTTGTTCCAACCGAGATCTTTTTGTTCTGAGTTGTTCTAGGCTTAAGAATTATAGTTCTAGAGTATGAGACTCATAAGATCATTCGTTCTCCGAAAATTCGTAAAAAAATCGATTTGACAGTACTCGACGTCAAGAGTAAACACATGCTTTCCTTCTTGTTCCAACCGAGATCTTTTTGTTCTGAGTTGTGCTAGGCTTAAGAATTATAGTTTTATAGTATGAGACTCGTAGCGTCATCCGTTCTCCGAAAATTCGAAAAAAAATCGATAGAAAATCGATAGAAGACGATAGAAATGCCGTCCTAAAATACGTGACGCACACTAAGAAAACGCTCGATTTACACTGTCGCGTTTATACGTGAGCAATATGCGATGTCCCGATGACTGTTTCGCTCGCTCGAACGTCCATGTATTTTTTCTTGTTAGCAAGTAAGTTACTGTAATGTAAAAAGAGATCTTGGGGAAGGGTTTTCAAGAGGCTTCGACAAGTGCTTCTTAATAGCTGCTCTTGAAAAAAAAAATATTAGATTTATTTCAATATAGAATACTGAATCAATATAGAATACTTCAACAACACAGCGCTTGTATAGGTTGTCGAAATAGAGTATTTTTAATTTTAATGTTGCATAAACACGTGAGATATAATTATTTCATATTTTATGCGTTCGAGTATCATTCCATCGTTATAAAATTTGGTGGCCCCGAAAAGAGCCGATTTTTGTGCCGAAGAAACTAAGGTCGATAGTCAGTAGTCAGTCCAATATCCGGCACGGTCGATAACTTGATTGAATCGATTAGGTATCGAATCAATCATGTTCGCGAGAAAGTCTAGTCGAAGCCATGGTTCTTCCCAAACAACGAACAAAAAAGAGCAGGTAGCTTTTAATTATCAGAAATATTTTTAAGATGTTGCATTGATCTCAAATAAATGTTAAAAAAACATTTGAAAAATATTTTTTTGTAATGTTTTTAAAACGTTTAAACGTTCAGAAAAATCATATTACAAAATAACATGTGAAAAATATAAATGCAATATTATTAAAAAATGTTCAAACAATGCACATGAAGTCAACATTTCTAAACGTTAATTTGTGATGATGACAGTAGAAACGATATCCATAGTATTCCGCATTTCTGTATCCATAGTAATAAGGAATAATAATTATTTGAAATAGGTGTAAAAATCGGCTCTTTTTAGAGCTATCAAATTTTATAACGATGAAACGGTACTTGAACGCATAAAATATGAAATAATTATATCTCGCGTGTTTATGCAACACTAAAATTAAAAATATTTTACTTCGACAACCTATACAAGCGCTGTATTGTTGCAGTATTCTATATTGATTCAGTATTCTATATTGAAATAAATCTAATATCTTTTTTTCAAGAGTAGCTATTAAGAAGCACTTGTCGAAGCCTCTTGAAAACCTTTCCCCAAGATCTCCTTTTACATTACAATAATTTCCTTGCTAACAAGAAAAAAATGCATGTTCGAGCGAGCGAAACAGTCGTCGGGCACCGCGTATTGCTCACGTACAGACGCGACAGTGTGAGTCGAGCGTTTTCTTAGTGTGGCGTCACACTATTTTAGGACGGCATTTCTGTCCACTCATCATAGGCAGCGTAGGCAGCAATGTGTGAGTGACGCGTCATTAACGCCGGTGCGTGTACAATCTTTCCTTATATCTATGCGCTTTTTATCTTTTACATTTTTCTTTTCCTCGCATCTTAACCTATTAGGGTTGCATTCCAAAACGTTCTTTTTGAAGAAAATTTTACTCAATACCTATATTTTACGTTAGATATACTATAGAATATCGAGTAAAATTTCCTCAAAAAGGACGTTTTGGAACGCAACCTAGGATCTTTATCCTGTTCCTTTCCTTTTCCCTCCTTTTATTCCTTATATATCTTTCTTTATCCTATATGTATCTTAACATCTATATTAGCAAATTCCTTTCCTTTTTGCATTTCTTATCCTTATATTTCTTATCCTATATCCTCGGTGGTTTTCCACGTCCACCGAGGGGAGGTGTGCGAGCGTCCGAAAATTTTTCCTTTGGGAATCGAACCCAGGCCTCTCTAAGCGCGGTAGACTCCGTGCTACGCTCGCACTCGCAATTATACGTAATCATGGGAGCATTAAACTTGTCTATTATGATTGATTTTCGTTGATTTTCGTAAATCGATTAATATTGAATTTCACAACTTTGTTGACACACTTCAGAACGTGTACAGAAATTTAATTACAAAAGAGTATAGAACTCTGCGAATACGTAGAATCTGTTAATTAATTTTTATTAAATTACAAAGCAATAATATTTGTATATTTTATTGAATATATATGCAAACGAATTGCGGTATAATGCAAATTTATCTTTATCTTTTATTGTAGATTTCTAAAATCTTTGAAGATCGTACGAAAGAAGCATTGTGTCGCATTCAAAAAAAGCACCGAGGCTGGTTTACAGCGGCCAACGCAGTTGGACATGTGTCTTACTCAGTTCGGATTTATTGGATATATCTTAATCGGCACTGAGAATCTAGGTATCAAGGTCACTCACGAGGAAATGGAAGGCTTGGTCCATGTCTGGAGGATCATCGGGAGCATGCTCGGGATGGAGGAAAAGTTTGTAGTCTTTGCTGCCCTTCTTTGTATTTCATTGCACGACGATCAAACAAAATCTTGCTTTCTCATTCCTAAATATTTTACCAATTATTCTGAATAAAATTGCGATACGTAAGTTGATACACGGATTATACAACAAATATGAATATTTATATGAGTTATCAATATTATAATATCGAAAATAATATTTGCAATTTTCCTGAATTTGCAGAGCGATCTTAAGATTCTGGCAATATTGGGAGAGTAGACGTTTTGATTCATTACTACCGTGATGATACAACGCTCATAATTCATGAGTTTGCATGACTTATAAATATACGTTCTTTCAGATTCAATCTTTGCTCGGGAACAGTTGAGGAAGCACGTGGTCTTTGCCAAAATATATTGGATAAGGTGTTCATACCAGCTTTGACAAATAAAAATGAACACTTTGACTCGATGAGTCAGGCGATGCTGGAAAGCTTGTCGGCCATGAGTTTTGCCATCCAACCACAAGCGTTCATCATGTTCACATATTACTTGGCATCTATATCTGCGTCCAATAATAATCACTCCATCAGAATAGGTAATTTCTCTCGCATTTTTATATAAACCCACAGATGTTTCATTGAGCTTACGGAAGATTAATAAAGTAGGAAACATAAAAAAGTCATTCTCCAAAGCATTTTTTAATCGTTTAGTATATTTTTTAATCCGATTTATGTGATCGGAAAATAAAAGCTTTCGATGCCCTGTAGGAAATAACAATAAGTATTTATGGAAAATACTATATTTTTTGTTTGATTTTTACGTAATAAATAACAACGATATATTACTTGCAGATACTTCGGGCATGTCGTTTTACAACTGGTACCTATTCAATCTGCAATGTTTCGTGCTAAAGTACCTGATGCGACCTAGTGCTTGGTGGTCCTCGTTTTTCCGAGCGATATACAATAGTATGTTGCAACTCTCTTTAATTATTGCGAAGAAATATCCCTACTTCTCCACCGCTAATTGGAGATATGGCGAAAAGTATTCTGATGTCAATATCTTCCGTTATAATTTCGATTAAACGGAAAAGAAATTGAAAGTTGCATCAAAATTGACGCTTAATCAAAGTAGAGAACTTTGAAACAGTTATACGTAATCAACTTATTATATAAGTATAGGATAACGGAATCAACTTATTGTATAGGTACTTATTGTATACGTATAGGATAACGTAGATTTCCATAAAAAGAGAAAAAAACAAAATAATACGCGTCCATTTACATTTACTGATATATCATTATATAATTTTATGGAAATAGAAGAATAGAAGACACGCTCAATAACGCATATATAATAACTTGATATGACTTATTGTAATACGTAACAGTATAATTATAAGAATTATTACGGCACAATGAGCTTCCAATTTACAGTACCTGAAGAGAAGAGAAGTATTGGATGTGACATTACATTAAGTTGTTAATTGCAATGTCCGAATACTTATAAAGTATTCAATGTTTGAATACTTTATGAAATGTTTATATCATAAATGACGTTATTATTTCCTAGACGAAACAAGCTTTTAAAAAATATCTTAAAAAGACGTTTTAGACGTCCTTTAGATATTTTTCTGAATTTTATTTGTTAACATAGTTCATAAGAATTTTAAGAAATCACGAAAAAATATAAAAAGTGCATTTCGTTATATAAACGTAAAATCTATACTAAATCTACACTCTTATTATACAGAATACTTTGGAATAAAAGAATCGCCAGTTCGATCGTTTACAAGTTACATACTACAAGCTATGAAAGCATCTCGTCCCTTAATAATCGAGATTGGACTTTCGACATCGCGATTATAGATATTTCATTTCGACGAAATAAATCACGCAAAACTTTAATTAGTTAATTATAACATAAGTTAGATGCTTTGTATATATATTATATTATTATTACATTGTGCACATTTATTTTAGACATCTCGAGATATCAAAATCGACTTAGCCAATCGATTATCAACATCGACAACCAGTCGATCGATCGTAACGCTCAGCATACTTCACGTTACACACACGTACGTGCGTGCATTTCATATTTCACGCACCATAACCGTAAATTTCGTTCTAAGATTCGGAATATCCCATTTTAGCGCACGCGATGGGTACCGGTAAGTGTTCTTCGCATTCACGGCACGTAGAAGGTCAAACTTTTGATGATGCTAAACTTGATCTTGACTCTCTCAATCGCGAGTCTGATGTTATCTAACGATAAACGCTCTAGAGAAGAATATTACGTCGCGCGCTATTAAGCAAGGTATTATAAATAAGATCGCGTACACGACTGTTAACGCGTTATTTGTCTTGTGCTCAATATAAGATGTGTTATTTTGCCGGCTGCCGTAACCTCCATAAAATGACGTAACATGATAACAATAATCGAAACGAGATGTCAACTCAATGGAAGGAGTTTCCTTCAGAATTGTCCATTTCCGTTATTCCATTTATCACGTTTGAGGTTATATATGTTGAGCGTCATTAGACAATTATCGATTTGTCATAAACGCGACAAATCGACCAAATTTGTTATGAATGAGTGAGTATTTCATGCGCAACAAACACCTGTACAATATTCGAGAATGGCGCGATGAAAAATATGATTTTGCGCGACTTTTGCATCACCACTGTTGTGGAACACGCGCGACGAACATGCGCGAACATGACCTATTTGCACGCCACGTCAATTGCAGTCCCACAGCGCGTCTCTAATTGTACCTCGTCAAAACAATTTTTTTCTTTGCATATCACTTCCGGTATATACTTAGACGATGACTAATAGGCGGCGTATTCAACGACATAGTATTATACAAGGACGTCATTGTTAACCTTTCAACGACAAGGTGGGATCAACGATGATCCTATTCAATATGTATTTTTCAATGCAATCTATTAAAACACTTTGTGATATATTTGTGCTAAAGTCAGGCACTTGCACTGGAGAAGTATTTTTAGAAAAGTTGTTCTTGTCAAGTCGCTGTTTGTTTATCCTCATACAAATTTTAATATGCAGAAGAAAAAAATTAAGTCAAAAAATATGTTGAGCTTATACATAACTCCATTAGATATTCTTAATTTAACCTCGTTGTTTACGTTCCATAATTTTACCTTGTCGTTTAAGGATTAATAACAATAGGGAAGGCTGCAATCTCGTGAAACGAAGTCGTACCCGTGTCAAGCCAGAAAATTGTCGATATAAATAATGACAATATCTTCGTGCATGTACGCGAGCCTTCAGTTCTGTCTGATTGTGCTTTTCTCATTAAAAAAAAAAAAAAACATTTCGGATTAATTTTTATTTCGCCAAATTAGTCGATTAATCGTGGTTTCCAGCATTGATAAATCTGTCGTTGCTCGCAATAAAATCAAATAAAAATTACGCATGACTCGAACAGACGCAGCGTCGTGCAGCTGTTGAATGTCGGAGGAGAGGCACAACTTGATCCTCCGCAGAAGATCCGAGAGAAGTTGTACCTGCGGATGGGAGGTAAAGTTTGGTTACGGCGTGGCTTTCACGCTGGCCGTCTTCGAGGCGAAACGCCTCCTCGTGTTCGCCTTGGAGATATTTGCGGAGTGGCAGGTGATCCGTTTCGCAGGTGGTTTCCAGCCGGTTGCTCTCACCTTGACGGACGTGACTCTGGGATTACCATGTGCCCTTATAACTGTACGCACCATACGCAGGTAAATGCAAGTGCATCTATCCGGTGGCTGATAAATAAGCGTGACTTTATTTATACGTTTGTGCAATAACTCGAGTTAGAGTAAAGGCGTTTCGAGTCTCCTTTGTACTTTTATCTACGAATTAATTAATGCCTACGAATAGTTTGTGGATGAAAACGTTAAGTATATGGTCGGCATCTCATACAGCATGCATCTTAATATTCGATGATATCCGCGCAAGAGTGCCGGCAATAGGCAGAGTCCTATACAGCACAAATGTTCAATAGATATTCTAAGATCGTTCTAAGAATATTCGAATACACTTGGAACGATCTTAGGATATCTATTGAACATTTGTGCTATATAGGATTCTGCCTGTTGTCGGCACTCTTGCGCGGATATCATCGAATATTAAGATGCATGTCGTGCACTGCATGGATATTTAAAAGAAAATAAATAAATAGATTGATCGTTGCGGTTGATTGAACACATTTGTAAAATACTCTGAGAACTTTCCTTTTGTTCTAGCAATCGATAAATAACCGTAAAATTAACGTGGCATACAACCTTTCTCTTTAACCTACTTTTTCTTATAATTCTTTGAATGCAGTGTGTCTGACAGTGTGCAATTTATCAGGGGCAGACCGAATTCGCGCTCGAAGAGCCACGTGCGAACTAAGCGAGCGTTGAGATGTCTTCTGGTGGCGGTGGTTCTTTGCGCCGCTATGAACACTGCGACCTTAGCTTCGATAGGATACCACATCAGTATGAGGCGAGAGACGCTGGTCGACGTCTTCAACGCCTCTATGCGACTGTACGTCAGCGTGGCGTCTTACAAATATGCGATTGACGAGATTCAATTTGCGCTGCAGTGCTGCGGTCACACCTCTTACACCGACTGGTTCCGCTTCGACTGGCAGGTAAGCTTCCGACGATGCCTGAAACCTGCTTCAATCGTGATTTCACGGAAAGCGTTTCCGCAAGAAAGAACAATGACGGACTTTGTATCGGTGATTGTGTCGATTTAGTACAACATCGTCATCTTTGACCGAACCTTTCTCTCATTCAGCACATAAATTTCTATCATTTCTATCTGCAATCGTACGTAATTCTTTCGTTAATTTCTTTTTCAATCTTTATATTTCGCAAGAAGACGGATTACGCATCTGGAGAGGAGATGACAGTACAGGACGGAATCTCGGACGAGGACTACAGAGATCGCGGAGTCCCCTTTAGCTGCTGCAATCTGCACGCGATGGGACCGTGTACGCACACGGAGATGACGGATGACGAAACGATAAACGTGAACGGTTGCGCGGAAGTCATCAGCCCCATTCTTCTCAGGATCGTCATAGTCGCTTATGTCATGACTAGCACTTTAATCGTCACTCAAGTGCTATTAGCCTTCTTAATCGCCAGAGTACGTTGTTTTGCTTAATTTACTTCAAAAGGACGTATCCTCATGAGGCACAAACTACCTCATGATTATCGTAATCAGCGTTTGCCATTAATCTTTCGAGTAAAAAAGTTACATTTTGTTATAAGAAATTAATATTGTTGGATGCTTGCTATAATCAATTGATTTTTAATTCGTTTACAGATGACCAGTAAATTCTTGCCTCTTCCATCGTCTTTTCCTCGCGCGAGACGATCGATCGCGCCGTTCACCATTATAAACACACTCCCAAGGACCTACGTGCCACGGTTTTCCTCGATGAAGAAATCCGCCTGGTACAGGAGACCAACAAACGCCCGTCCATCATCGACGAACGATGCCTGCATCAAGGAAAACCGGAAAGCTAAGCCGCCCGCGGCGAGGTGCAGTTGTCCTAATTTGAATCGCTGGTAAGAGAACGAGTCTCCTCTAATATAAAAATAATAGTAATTACTTTTTAGCATTTTTTTTTAATCAAGAATTATTTATTGCTCTTATCATATTCAATTATTTACTACGTAGTTTCCATTCTCGAAAGAATAATCTTGTGTTTTGATTGAAATTAATTCCAATGTCAAATTAACTTTCTCTCTTGAATTAACTCTAATTCACATGGCTTCTTGATTAATAAAACCGGTATTTAAGCGTCGAAAAATAAATGTAATGACGCAGTATTTCATATAGTAATACCTGGGATGTCGCGAAGATTAAGCCGAGCGTTCACGAGGAGCACAGAGTATCCGTGAAACGCCTTCGCAGCAAGCACGTGCGTTGAAATTCCTTTGTGCTAATTATCTGCAGATCTTCGAAGTGATTAGAACAACGGTTCTTTCGGGCAACTGCGCATTATCGACGACGAAATACTAATTACTGCTATTAGAGGTAAGTCGTGACACAATAGCAGGCGGTGAGATTCGGGGTGGGGATAAGTAGTTAAATTTCCCATCTGAAACTCAAGATCAACACCTGAGCTCAGTGCTGTTCAAAACATCGTGCGACGGTGACTCGCTCCATCATCAGTGTTATCACGTTGTAAGTATTTGCAATCGACACATCCGTCGCTCATTAGTCTCTCGCCTTAATAACGACTCTTACGAACGACTAATCGTCTGATTAAATGACTGATGATTTTGATAACAAATAAATGACAAACTACTGTGATAGTACTGGCTAGTGATCTTAATGGACGATTAACGAGATTACATCGATTCCGCCTTTTCCAGACATTCGATCATCGAAAATTATTTGATTATTGCTTCGCCTTGGATATATTAATAGTTTGCTAACCGATGAAATAGCCCAATAATCGACTCACAATTCTCAAAACCGCAGACGAGTTTATTGCGGACAGTTACGATGAAAGTCGACCATGGTATTTGATACGCGTTAATCTCGCGTGCTTCTTACTGTGCTTCTTCTGTGGACCGGCGACTGTAATAGAACTGGTGACGTCCCGCGAACTAACTTGCGCTTCTTATTGCATTTCATCGGCGCTTTCGCAAGCTGAAAATACGGTCGCGGCCGAAAAGACGTTATTCCAAACGAGGTTTGTGGCTCCGGCAGGCCAACAACGAGAAGATAAAACCGTGTCTGGCATCGCGATTTAGATGACATTCATTTTAAAATAAACTAAGTTAGTTACTAAGTTAGTTACTAAGTTAGTTTACAAGAGAAATAGAAAGAGAGAGGGAGAAAAAGCAATGCACAAATAAAAAAAGAGAAAGTTTTTTATATAACATTACGACTGTATTTATAAAATGATCGAGTTTAAAAATTGTCTATAATCACATATTGTTTTATGTATATTATATATGTTCAGAGTAATTTGCAAAAGCCAGGTTTAATGTGATACAATCTCTTTGATGATGATTCATCGAATTTATGAAGACAACAATAAAACGTCACTGTTTTGTTAAGCAACGCAGTTTTGCCGTGTACTTTGAAGAAACAAACAGCTGTCGACAGACAGACTGTATGTTAACTTCACACATTCTGTGATCATTCTGTCTTCACAATTAGAAAAACAGAGAAAAAAAACAGAAACGAGCATATAGGTTGAATAAAACATATTTAAATTTAAGAACTGCTAATATACGAATGCATATCATTTTTCATATCAATCAGTAACGGAACTGGAATTAAACATTTCCATCGTCATAAAATAAACAGAACGCGAATGGAAACATGTGATTTCGATTAAAAGCGACTGCGCAAGACGGTATTTTCGATGAAAGTTCCGGTTTATCAACTCACAGATCTCAGTATAAACAATATGAACGCGACATAGCGTACACATCGGCAGGACGAATCACGTGAATTGCGACTCCATTAACTCTCCCGGGTAATTGCGCACCACGCATCGGCGGTTTCTAATGTAGATATAATAACCAGATTTCATTGTCTCAATGTGTAGAGGCGGCTTTCGTGCCAGACGTGCTCTAAAGAAGCAAACAAAGAACGCGGATAATCCGCCTGCCAGTGTATAAATTTTGCGCGCATCGCGTCGCTGATTTCGCGCTGATAGTCGCGCGACGCTCGAATCTCGGCGGCCGTTCGGCAACGTTCGGTACATTCGAGCGCGCTCGGCAATACTCGGACGCGCTCGGCAATTCTCGGGCGCGCTCGGCGATGCTCGACGATGCTCGGCAGAGCGCGCGCAGCGTGCCGGCCCGACGCACGAACGGCACGTTCAGTTTGCTAGCAGCCGCGTGCTTGATCGGTCGAGGAGTTTCATACATATTGTGCTACTAGTGTTCGGCGATTACTTTCGAGCGCCATTCCATCGTCATAGCATGTACTCACCAGTTCGCAGCCACGTCTACTGCTTGCCGCATCATCAGCCACACAATAAACTCGTCTCTTACGGCTACCGTTAGTCGGCCATATTTCGCGGCTCTCGCTTTCGCATGTGATAGATTAGTGCGTCCGTTGGAAATCGCAACTGTCGCGTCGGTCGCGCAGGAGGGTCGGATTGTGAATACACCGCGGCAGTGATAGCATGATATTCTCTTGGATATTCCAGTGAGTCTCACGAGCGCCTATACCGGGTGGCTGAGTCGTTCGCGCGTGAAGTGTGAGGTGGCTGATTTTTTTTCACTCTCGCTATCCCGTTGCGTGCTCGACGAGAAGAAAAGAGAGAGAAGGAGAGAAAGAAGGAGGGAAAGTCGAGAGCGCACGAGCGACACCGTAGACAGTGAGTGAGTGAGAGAGAGGAAGGGAGAGAGCGAGCGCGACAGCAACCTGGTGCGAGACAGATTTCCGGTGGATCAGCTAATAGTCAGATTTCCAAGGAGGCTCTATCTCAGCCAAAATGAGCTGCTGTACCAGCGCGCCCATCGTCACGCAGACCTGCGAGACTCTCCTTAGCAAGTGCGAGATCCCGATCATCGACCTCGCTCATATGGGTGAGTGCTTTTTCATTTGAATCTACCGGGTCGCCCGATCGACCTCGGGCGATCTCTGTGTATTTATTTCGCGAGACACGCAGGCAATCGTTTGGCTCGTCGATTCGCGGAATCGCACTCGCGACTGAGATTTTGCGAAACGTCATTTCGAAATTGTTTGCAAGGCGGTCGTGCGCGCGCGCGTGCTGTAAACGTTTTTCCCGTTCGATCGTAAAACGACGGCGTACGGAATGTAATGAAACTGGGACTGGCGGTGCGCGCGCGCGGCCTCGGCGAAAGATCTCCACTCTGCTCGGTGTTGCAAGTCGGTCATAGGTCGTCGGATGACGAAAGTAAATGGCATGACAAAACTAGACTGACGCACCTCGAAAATCACTGGCGGGAGCAGAAAACACGTGACGTTGCCGATTTCGCGACGCTTCGGAATCCGGCCAGGAGATCGTTTCGATTTCGGAATTATAGACTGCTTGTAAGACTTGCGTACGCGATATATATGGATGTTTATGGATTGTAATATTTTATTAGACTGTTTATGATATTACTCGTGACGAATTGCTAAACGACAGCTTGATGGATGAGTATCATTGCGGGCATTGGTATCGTATATCGTTAAACAGTAACGTTAACAGCAAGCACGTTAATTTCTGTTAACATTCCGACCTTGTGCTCGAAAATCGCTCTCCACTTCGCGTCGTGCTCTTTGTTAATCAATTCGCAATTTGCAAATTAGAGTCGCAACGTCCGCGAAGAAGTTGTTGTCTCTTAACGTATCGGAAGGATACTTTGGTGAACCTTGATTCGACTTGACTCCGTTTATCACATTCGTTGAGAGCCTTGACGGGCGATTCAATTATTGTCATTGTATCGGAACGCGCGTGCGTGTTCGTCTCAATTACCGCAATAAAACTCGAAATTCGGCACTTTCGGATCCACCGCTCTCAGAGTTATGTCTTCGTCATTCCATGCGAATTAGTTAGCGTAACGTGTAGAGCTCGGGATCTTTTCTTTTTTAAACACAGTAAAAGAACGTTAACGACATCGTCGCGTGGGCGATGTTTCCTCCGCGACCGGGTGCACGAAGTGTCGTAAAAATAAATGATTGACATTCATTTATTGCCGCGTCTAATATAAGTTACCACCAGCTGAGCGCGTTTACGTTGTTGCTGGCGTTTTTTAAGCACTCTGTCCATCTATCCCGAGGCACTGTGTCCACCTTTTGTACGGCCCTGCAATTATTCGCAACTTATTCGAATCTACTTTTTGCACTCGAGATTATTTTATTATCGCATAATTTCATTTCGAAACACTATCGAACGATTTAATTTTGAAACACGGTCCGGATGATATCTCATAGTTGCGTCAGGAACTGTTTGCTCGTGCGAGCTTAAGGAAAAACAAACAACCAGCTATATTTCTATTATTGTTATCGTTAAATTCTACGAACCTCTCATCCACGGTGTTGATCAGCTGATCGCGATTTTCGAAAAGCGACGAACGGTCGCGCCGTATGTAGACACTCGGGAGTAGGACACCCTATATAAACGGTCCGAGGGCGCCAAGGGAGGGGCCCTTCTTTGTAAGAGGGGCTCTGACCTCAACGGATCGTCGGACCCGTGGTAGGCGCCTCCGGTTGCCGTTGGCTGGCTGCTTCGTCTGGCTAGGTGCCTGGCCTCGTTGCCAAGCAACCGTAAAACCGTCTCTTTCTCTCTCTCTCTCTCTGCACAAATCCTCGAAATTCCTTGCGACTTGCACGCACCATCCGGTCTCCGACGTGGTGCATCGTCCTTTCGAAGACCCCAGACAGAGAACCCGCTGCGACCTAACCGCCCGTGGATCTTCCTACTTAGAAATCGCCAGCTTGGAAGCATGTTTCGCACGCATATGCGTTCTGCGTGAATTTCAGGAACTCCCAGAAGTAAAACACGTTTGGCCGATTGTTGACATATTTCCTCGTGTCATTAACGACTTTTTGTTACATTCCGTTCGCAGCGGGTATCGGTCACGAAAAACACACATCTGCGTAGTAAATACGCGCGACTAAAACTCTCTCGTGGACCGAGAGTCGATGGTTCGTTCGAAAGGTCTTCTGGGAAATAAGTCGATTGAATTAGTTAACGCGGAAAGAATGGGCAAAAAAGCGCGGTTGATTAATCATCACGCAGTTGAGGCTGAGTAATTATTTCCCTCAGCATGTATCAAACAATTGAAAGTAACAATGTACCAGCTATTATTTACCAGTTTAGTGGTAGCGTGTTGTTGTTCCATGGTGTTTACTCACGGTACCGAAAAAGAATATTGCCCGTATTCATAATCAGGCCTTATGTTTAAGGCTTCCTCAAGTTCATCTTCAGATGCTCTATAGCCAATAAAATAATCTGTAGAGCATTTGAAGATGAACTTGAAGAAGCCTTAAATATAAGGTTTGACTATGAGTACGAGCATACGTTTTTGAGTCATTGAAGATACTAAGCGGTAAATGTCCTTGGACACGAAAAGTCGTTTCCTTTCTTTCCTCGTCGAGGCTTGCCGTTAATGAGCTACCTGCTGCATATATGTGAGCAGTGTGTAAAGTCTCGTACACAATAGGGCTAACCCCTGAGGAAGCCTCCTGATACGTTTTGTCACGCATTCATGAGATTTTCCCCGAATTTCATAAGAAAAGTATCTTCAATTGTTTACTGGGAAATAACAAGTGCATTATTTGCTAAAATCAAGAGTGTACTCGCCGTTGAAAAGGTTTCCTGGTTTTTTCTTTTTATAAGTTTCGGAACATATCTGTCTTAAGATAAGAGAGCTCTTTTATTGAAAAATAAATTCTCTCAATCTTTTCAACGGCGAGTATATACACTGAGAAAAAATATCTGAAAAATAAAAAAATATTTATTCAGTGAGTGTTATAATCACATACTTAAATTTAAATTCTTTTACTTGAATAAACAATTGCTTTTATGAAAAGCTACACGAAAAAAAATAATTTGCTGTAGCAGCAAACTAATTTGCTGCATATGGACAGTTAAATATAATTCGCTGTGTTAGCTACATTTTCTTTGCTGTGAACAACAAGAACCTATTTTCTTGCTATGATAACAAGAAAATCTGCTCCTACAGCAAGAAGAGTGGCTAACGTAGCAAATTTGCTACAGATGGATAACTAAACATAATTTACTACTTTAGTTTCTTTTTTTGTTGCAGGAATAGATTTTCTTGTTATCATAGCAAGAAAATTGACTCCTGCAGCAAAGAAAAAGTGGCTAATACAGCAAATTATGTTTAGTTGTCCATATGTAGCAGATCTTTTTTTTCCGTGTAAGGCATTGTAAGAAAATATCCTTATATTCTTAAAAATATTCGTATATTCTTTTATTTGAAAATTCTTTTGTATTGATCAATTAAATATGTATTAACGACATTAATGGTAGATACTAATGATGTCATTAATAGATACTAATAATGTCATTCGTAGATACTAATACTAGGTAGGTATTAATAGTAGGTATTAATGACATTAATACCTACCATTAATATCTACCTAATATTAGTATCTACGAATGACATTATTAGTATCTATTAATGACATCATTAGTACCTACCATTAGTGCGAAGAAATATCTTTTTTGTATTACACGAAAAAAAATAATTTTGCTCTTTTAGCAAAATCGTCGTTGCTACTGCATATTCGTAGTGACATAAAAAAAATTTAGTTGACGTAACTAATTTTACAAATTATTCGTTATTAGAGCAGAAGTAGTTTTGTTGTCAGGATAGAAAAAATTTGTTGAGTGTATTTGTCCTAAAAATCACGTTAATTTGCTATTGATGCAAAATAATGTATCAATAGCAAGTTAGCAAATTTATTTGCTATCGGAGCAAAACTGCAACTGCTTGTATAAATCCATCATGGTCCTTATAGCAAAATAATTTTTAGATTCAGCAAATTATATCCAGCAAATAGTGATTAGTACTTTTAACAAATCTTTTTGCTGTCCATATAATAACGAAAAGATTTTGCTAGACCAGCAGAAAATTTGCCAGCAAATTAATTTTTTCTGTATAGATATTTTTTTCTTTCCCAGCGCAAGGTAGTAGCTCTCTTTTCTCGAACAATGAGATGACCCTTCTGATGCGTCTTTGTCCTTATTACATTTCCGTAAAACGTTTCTCGAATTTCTACAGGAGTTTCTAGAAACGACCTTCTAATTGATTATCAGGGGATGACTCGCAAATTCTTCCGGAAAGTCGTTTCAACCGTGCGACGTCAGAAATTGCAGAGATCGGTGCGCAGTACGCCGGCTTTCTAAGTCGGTCGTCGCGTAATAGATTCTAATCGGATTTTGTTCGACCCAGTGATGGACTACTTTGCGCCGGTGTGAGCCAAATTTTCAGCTGCCTTACGTCCCGTATCGCGTGTATTGCGCGCACGCGTACCACTTATACGATTATTAAATTATATAAGAGGCCGAAGCCTTATATGTGCACAGATCGTCTGAAGTATGCCCGGCATGCCATTTAAAGATCACCATGCGCCGCCAATCAGCGTTCGCGTGCCATTCATCACCTATAGTCTAACGGTTACGTTCTAACACGTGGATACATTGAGACGTTGTCTTTGTTTGTATACTTGCACAAGCATTGTGCACCGAATAGGAAGTTTCGCGAAAGCTAGAGAGAGAGAGGGGGGGAGAGACCTTCGTGGCCTTTCTAGCGACATACGAGGGTGGTCTGAAAAGTTTCCGACCTCAACGTGAAGATAGC